ATATATATATATATATATATATATATATATTGTGTGTGTGTGTGTGTGTGTGTGAAATGATCTAATGCAAGGGTTGTATCATAGTATAATGCAATCACACTTTTAGAAAACCATGTTTGTGGCATTTGTATGACCCAAAATTTTACACACACACTTTCTTCGTCTCAATAATCAATTCCAAAATAAAAGGCAAGTTCAATTTGAACCCTATATATGTTCAAAATGTATCCACTCCAAGAATGAATCTAGACCATTCATTTGGTGAATTTCAAGATCTTAGCCTATACAAACCCAAAATCATTTTTTTATTTTTTTTAATGTTTTTCATCTAATGATAACAAAACCATCTAAAAAAATTGGAAATTAAAAAACCATCTAAGGCCTAGATCTAAGCATCTTATCAAAATAGACGGCATGTATTAGTAAGGCTAAAAAAATACTTTCTAATTTCCGTTTTCATATTTTTCTTTTTTGTAATTTTTCACCAAAATGAAAAGAGCGTATATTTCAAATTTTGGATCAAAGAAATTGTTATAACATGGTTTTTGAAGGCATGATTTATTACCAAAACATCTTAAAAAAAACCATTTGCATTTTTTACCAATACACTATTTAAGTAGTGGTGATAGAAGCAGGTATCATAGTATATATATACCTTTCTTTCTTTTCTTTTTTTTTTTCTTATTTATTTATTTATTTATTTCAACATGCTAAGTTACAAGGCGTGAAATTATGTTTTTCAAAAACCGAAAAATTTAAAAAAATTTCAGTTTTTGAAAAACCTAAAATTAAGAAAATTCAGTTTTTCAAAAACAAAAAATGGGCGGTTTCATCTTTTTTTTTTAAAAAAATAAGTATTATGAAGTTGAAAAAGTGGACATCTAGGTTATAACATAACATTTTAGGTATTTTCGTAATAGCAGAAAATATAACAGATATTTACTTAATTTTCCCTTATTTTTATTTATTAGTACAACAAACCATACCCTTTCATGGATTGATTGGTCCTAAAAAAAAAACAAATACTCTTTTTATTCAATGTTATAAGGAGTATACTAGGCACCAAACTGGTGAAGGGTAGGGTCTAGTCAAAACTAGATATTAAGAAAAAATATAGATAGTAATTTAAATATGGAAAAAGTTTATATAATGTTGCAACGTTGAAATGTAGAATTAAAAGTGCACTTCAAAAATTAATCGAAAAATGTTATTTTAATATTGAAAATCCTCTAATTGATTATCCCGACATCGATATGTATGAACATGAAAAAATATATATTTTGAGTTCCCGAAATAGTACATCTTGCATCACATTATCTAGACCGTCAATTTTCAAGAATTTCATATGTTTATATATCTACTTGATTTGAACCATTTTTGGAGTTTAAAATTTTATAATTAGACATGAAAATAAATTTTTCAGATAATCCTAAGAATCTTTTTTACCAAAATTATATGTTATGACAAAATTTGGAGGTGCGCCATAATTGGATTGTTTAAGGTTACAACCTTATAGAAACCAAACCCTTTAAATATATGTATTATTTTAGACAAAAGAATTCTCCACTTTGTTTAACCAATCAAACTGTTTGAAACCAGTTGGTCAAACTGGCCAAAACTAGCTTTTTTTTATCAAACTTACTCTAGACTAAAATAAACAAGGGGGAAGGCCTCAGACTTTTTTAAAATTTTAATATAAATAAATTAGATATTTATATATAAAAATAATAAAATAAAAAAAATAAAATAAAAATTTCAAAAAAAAATAGAAAAATTACTTTTATATGGATATTTCTTTGCTTTGGCCAAAGAGGCCAAAGCTTTGATAAAATCGATCCGAAGCGGGCAGAAGCTTACTAAAACGGTAGCACTAGGCTTCGCTTCCCTTTGATCTAGGCTTAAAATTCGAAGACTTCAGCCGAAGCAAAATGAATCTGACTACACAAGAGAGACAAATATTTGGCTTGTATCACACTATCAGAGTTGGGGAGAGAGAGAGATCGCGGGTTGTATTACTATGGAGTTGTGCAAGCAAAATAAATCGAATATAATTCCAATCTAAACATGACAAATACATACTCCCTTTATTAGAACTACAATACGAGGATATCATTCGAGAAAAAACATACCACAATTAACTATGACACACAGTGATGCAAAGCAAAAAAAACTCAGACAGAAGCAGCTACTAACGCAAATACATGTCCCCAAACGAACACAAACTCAAGGCATGGAAGTAATAAAAAGAGCAGTAGACATTCCCTTACAAAGGGGTATACGAATATAGAAGCATATGTGGGCCAATCGAGATTCGATATGTAGATCCTGGCCAATGAAAAACTGGCAGGTGGCACTCTTAAGGCTTCGAAGGCGGTGGAGCCAGGAAAGGGAGGTAAGGGATTGTTATGGATGGGATTGTTGTTGGAATTGTTATGGGTATGGATGGGATTGTAGTTGGAATTGTCGGAATTATCGTGGGCAAGGACGGAAAAGGCGGAAAGGTCGTCGGGATTTTTGGTAGGGAAGATGGCAATGGAGGGAGTGTCGTTGGAATGTTTGGAATTTGTGGGATAGAAGGGATCGGTGGAATCGTCGGGATCGTTGGAATCGTCGGGATCGTTGGAATCGTCGTTGATGGAAGTGGTGGCAATGTGGGTTTCGGGAGAGAGGGAATGGTGGGCAGGGCCGGAGGGGGTGGCGTGTCTAATAGGTGGCGAGCCGCCGAGCAAATATTGTCACCGAGCAACGACAAAACAACGAGCATTGCGAAGAGGGAACTCTTGTGAGAAGCCATGGCTAAAGAGAGGAGAGAGAAAGGTAGTGAGAGAGAGGAAGGAGAGCTAAAGAGTAGAGAAGAAATTAGTAGTGAACAAAAGAAGGGTTGGGAGATCCTTATATAGAAGGGAAATGTTTAGAAGAGAACAAGTGAAGTATTTGTTATGGTAGTTGGCTTCCCCGCATGAAATGCATTTGTGGGGTGAGACATTTTTGAGAGGTTAGTTAATCCTCCCATCTAACTTTTCCTCACTCTAAACACGCATCATTCACTATTTTCTCACTCTAAATACGCAATCTCTGTATGTAGATGCGAAAACGTTCATCTTGTACACAATTTCCTCTTATAAGCGCATCAGGAACGTATGGAAAATGAATTGCATTCCGTTCATTTTTTTTTTTTTTTTATGCTCCTGCAGGAGCGCATTATTCATTTATCCCTTGATCAAAATCCATTTCAGAATATTTTTAGGACCCGAAATTCTGTGAAAGTAACTTCCTTGGAATGGTGACCAACCCAGAAAAAAAAATAAAAGAAATTAAAATGAAAAAATATAGCAGCACTCATTTTGTGCCTAAAGAAAATAATGGCACTTTCAAGTGTGAGCTCTTCGGTCTTTCGCATGAACAAGTGTTAATATTTCGTGGAAAAGTACACAAAAAAACCATTTATTTAATACAAGAAGGTTAAAGTTATTCTTGTCCCTCAGATTTCAAATGTGAAATTGGGTGGTTGTGAGTGTGCACTGACTAGAATCAAAGTTTAAAAAAAAAAAAAAAATCCTATACTTTGTGTCACACCCTAAGCCATCCAATTTGACATCTAATTGATAGTAACAATTGTGACCTCCTTGAATCAAAGTATATAGTCTCATAATATAAAATTTCAGTATATGACTAGTCCATTTGCATAATAGTGTGTAAGTGTATAGTGTGTTCTTGCAAAACATTTCCCCACTTTGTTTAGCCCATCGAACCGATTGAAACCAGTTGGTCAAACCGGCTAAAATCAGTTAAATATTGGTTTTATCTTCTTTTTTCTTTTCTTTTTTAACTACCAAACCTCATTTTTACTCTAGACCAAACCAGACAAGGCATCGGCGCATGATCAATAGTTAAACCACCAGTCTAATTTAAAAAAATGATCTAAATAGCTCGACATTATAAAAAATAACATTGCATATCTCAAATAGCAACTCCATCCAAACCTTCATTAACATCCACATGTAGCCACCCATATCGGTCAAATGTGTCCCTGATTCAATTGCAAACTAACAGATAAAATCCATCACAAAAACTCCACTTAAAATTCGCACAAATTGCGTTGCCTCCATTCCTTTCCCTAAATATCCTCCCACATTGACACCCTAATTTTAGAGGGGTGTGGTTTGTATAAGGCCGAGGCCCTAAATAATCAAAGTAAGACGTATTTTCAAATAGTATTGAAAGATATTGTTTTAATACTAGAAATCTTTGTGATGGCTTGAAATTTGATTTTCATATCTAATTGTAAAATTTAAAGCTTTAAAAATAGGGTAGATTTATAAAAACTTGAAAATTTGCTGTCTGAAAGTAAATTACAAGGTGCACTATTTCCAAGACTTGAAATCCATTTTTTCTCATGTCTATACATCTTGAGGTAGAGTTTGAGGAATTTTAGGCATCGAAACAACTTTTTTTTAGTAAATTTTTTAGGTGCACCTTAATTTGATTGTTTAGGGCCTCACCCTTCTATAAACTTTTTCCAATGTAGAGTGATTCAAAACTCATAATTTCCAAACTTTTTCTTTTTTTTGGTAGTTATAATTTCCAAACATTAACGACAAAAAGCCTTATTGATTGAATCTTCTCTCCTCTTCAAAGAGAACCAAAATAAGCAACTTCTACCTTCTTGAAGAACAATTCAACGTCCATTCCCTCTCTACACCACACATTTTCCCTTTATTTAGAACCCCAAAAGCTAACCAAAATAACCAATCTCTCCCATTTTGGACTGGAATTCAACATCATTTCTCTGTCCATCTCCAACTCCAACACGCACATAGAGTATTGTTACACCTTCAACATCCTCCCATCTCCCTATATAACCACAAGTTGTGGGCCTTAGGGTCCATAATTACTCAAAACCTTGCATACACTTGCTCTTGATTCATGGCTTCGAAATGCTGGCTTATAAGCATAGTAGTAATTGTGGCTTTGGTTAACAATTGTGGAGCTGCACGTTATTTAGAAAAGACAAACAACGAAGTAGAGACAATGGCTCCCCCTCCATCATTGCCTGCAATTCCTTCATTCACCATGCCTGACTTGGGTTCTCTTCCTGATTTGAGCCTTCCCCCTCTCCCCTCACCAAAGATACCCACAATTCCTGGTTTCTTCAATTTCAAAATGCCAAAGTTTCATTTCCCTCACATCCCTTTCTTGAATCCATCCCATTCTTAGTGGAAACGGGCTTTTGAGGTCCAATGGTCCAAAGAGTTCTCAAGCATCATTCTATGCTCACAAAGGTCAATGGATCATTTGGAAGGATTGGGTTCCATGGTTGGTGTGAGTTTTGCTTCCCCCCTTCTCACCATGCATAGCCATAGTGTCAGAAAGTTGCCCCTCTTCAAATGGGCAATGATAGAGTACCACATTTGTACATCTTGCTTCTGGGCTTGGGCCTCAGAAGCCCAATGGCCTCCAGTCTCACGTAGCTTTGTAATGGATTTGTTCCTTCTTCCGTTGTTTTGAGTCATTATATATATATATGTAAGACTATTTATCTCTATTACAAGGATGTCACAATTATTTATAGCCATTAGATTTCAAAGTGAATAGGTTGGGGTGCATCATGAAGTTCAAAAAAAAAATTTATTGAACTTTGGGTTTAATAAATGATACTCTTACAGCCACCTAATTTAAAATTTGTTGGGGGCCAAAAAAAAAAAAGGGGGACTTTTATTTACCAAAAGTAAATACCCTCTTTGTATATTTTTATTTTTACTTTTTATCACATTGAGATGTAAAATCAAATGGTTAGGTGTGCCATATTTTTTTGCCCAAAATCTAAGAAAAAAAAAAATCTTTTAAAACCTTGAGCTTAGTCAATGATACAACTTAAGATTTCACATCTGACCGTTAGAGGTAATTTCGATCTTTTTGAACAAAGATAAGTGACCTTATTCTATAGTTTCCTCTTACTCTTTTGGTTTTGGCCAGGGTTTCAAACTATAAACGACATTGTTGGTGGCTTTTTTGGTTCTTTGGATGTGATCTTGTGAATGCAGGATTTCGTAGCCAAAATGATGAAAGCTGTTTTCAAATGGAAACTTTATGATATCATTGACAACATTGGCTTCTCTCTCATTTTGTCAATATATCGTAAGTTGTAGGAGAAATGCCTTCTATCTTCCAAATAAAATCACCAAATATTAGGCACCGTTTGATACAAATTTGAAAAGTTGATATAAATATCAAAATTGCAGTTTCCTCATAATATTAGTAGATTTTACGTAGTCATGATGACAACGTGGCCATGTGGATTGTCAACCTCTGATCAAATGGGTTCGATGGTGATGGAGGAGGGATAGTGGGCCGTGGGTATGAAGTAATGACATGTATGGTAACACACCAACTCCCTCCATCTGCGTCCAACCCATTGTTTGGGCCCCTATTGTTATCATGATTATGTGCATCATATCAAACGGCCCGCAACAATAAGCTCCTCGGCAATAGTAAATAACTAATAGGGCCAATTTGGATGGATCAATAAATAAGATTCGTATTATTATATTTCTCTGTTTGGCTGACTACTCCGGCCCATGCGTGAGCTAGTACTCGCCTGAGTCCGAGTAACTCAGTCTAAGTAGGGTGAAAATTATTAAAAAGTAAATATATATATATATATATAGTAAAATTTTAAAAATAAAACTAATAACTCTTAAAAAGTAGCAAAAAAATAGATTTTAAAAACTGAATTCATGATTGGGTATTTTCAAAGTTTTTTAAAAAAATATGGGAAAAAATAAAAACAAGTATCATGACCAAAATAATTTCCAATCTTTGTCAAAATAATACAAAATATAAATAAATATACTACAAGTATATTTCTTATTTTTTTTAGTTTTTTTATAATTTTTTAAAAAGAAAATATCTTCATATAAAAAGATATTTGCTAACCTCCTGACAACTTTAAGCCTACTTTTTTACCTAAACAAATGTGAGAAAGACATGTTCTTTCTACACCTAATCATTTCTCACTCTTCACGTATATATCCCAAATTTATCTTTTTTTCTCTCTTGTTTTGTCTCTTACTCTCTCTCCTCTCATGTTTTTCCAAACTCCTCTCTCCTTCTTCCGGTATCCTTTCACCTCCATGAAGCCTATCTCTCTATCTAGAAGTTTGGGGGATGGTTTTTAGGAAAAACATGTCTTTTAAGATTTGTTTGACCTAAAAAAACAGGTTTAAATTAGTTTAAGCAGTTAGAAGAAATAAAATCTACAAATTTTATGTCCCAAGATATCTTTTAAAATCCTGAATCCATTGTGAAATCAAACTTAAAAATAAAGGGGTATGGAGATATGTTATCTTTTCTAAAATATTTTTAAATATTCTTTAAGATCCTTGAATTGGACCTCCAACTTGGAACAACTCAGGCTCGACAAGGGCCTAAGCCCGAGTAACTCGGCTGAGCGACTTTTCAAATATTGATAGAGAGTGAGAAGATCCATTATGAATGTAAATCTAAGACCTCAGAAGCAAAGCTAATATCGAGTGGGGGTGTACATTGTCTGGAGTTTCATGATCACCATTGTCACAAGTCAAACATTCCCCAAAAAAAAAAAAATTCAAAATAGTGAACATAATTCCCAACATGCTACAAGATGATAGAAGGAGATGGAGTATTCACAAAAACAGAGCATATACATACATGACCGAACCCTAAACATTACAACCTGCCATAGTGCATACGGATTACCTAACAAACACACATTCTTTCTTTACACAGTGGGCTTGGCATACGAGAGAGAGAGAGGAGTCAAGGGGGTAGAAAAGCAATAGGAGGAAGAGTAAATGGAGGCATAGGTGGGATATGGGGAATG